TATAGAAGGCATGGTTAGTAAGTTTGCGGATGATACCAAAATTGGTGGCATAGTAGACAGTGAAGGTTTTCTAAGATTACAAAGGGATCTTGGTCCAATGGGTCAATGAGCTGAAAAATGGCAGATGGAGTTCAATTTGGATAAATGCAAGGTATTGCATTTTGGTACAACAAACAAGTGTAGATCTTATACAGTTAAGGGTAGGGCCTTGGGCAGTGTTGTAGAACAGAGGGACCTAGGGGTGCAGATACATAATTCTTTGAAGTTTTGTGTCACATATAAAAAGGTTTAAAAAGGCATTTGGCACGTTTGCCTTCATTGTTCAGTCCTTTGAGTAAAGGATTGGGAAGTCATGTTGAGGTTGTACAGGACATTGATGAGGCCTCTTCTGGAATACTGTGTCCAGTTCTGGTTTCCCAGTCATAGGAAGGATATTATCCAGCTAGAGAGGGTTCAGAAGAGATTTACCAGGATGTTGCTGGGTATGGAAGGTTTGAGTTGTAAAGAAAGGCTGGATAGGCTGGGACTTCTTCCATTGGAGCGTAGGAGGTTGAGAGGCAACCTGATAGAAGTTTATAAAATAATGAGATGTATAGATAAAGTTGATAGTCATCATCTTTTCCCTTAAGATGGGAAAGTTCAAGACTAGGAGCCACATTTTTAAGGTAACAGGAGAGAGATTTGAAAAAGACATGAGGCAAATTTTTTACACAAATGGTGGTTTGCATGTGGAATGAACTTCCTGAGGAAGTGGTGGATGCAGGTACAAAAGCAATGTTTAAAAGACATTTGGATGGATATATGAACAGGAAAGGTTTAGAGGGATATGGGTCAGGAACCAGCAGGTTGGACTAGTTTAGTTTGGGATCATGTTCAGCATGGACTGGTTGGACCAAAGGGTCTGTTTCCGTGCTGTAAGACTCTATGACTATAGAAAGATTTTGCCTTATTTAAATGTATGTAAACACATTTTCAAACATTGTTACCACAATCAGAACTCAAAAATGAAACCAAATTCTACTCTTAACACTCACATGATGTAGAAAAACAAATTAAACTTAAAGCTATATGACATTCTGTCTGTTTTCAGAACCTAGGTTTCCAATAATAAAGTTGAAACTTTATGTAGCTTTGTGTAATAAGAGAGAATGCTTGGAGAAGGAGGAATTATGAATTCATTAAAGACAGATCCAAATTTTGGGCTGACAAGAGGCTAGCAACATATACGCCCTACATATATCAGCAATGACATTCATTTTTCTCTTGACATTCAATTGAGTTACCATCGCTGAATCCTCCAGTATCAACATCCTGTGGGTTACCATTGACTAGAAACTAAACTGGACTAGCTATATAAATACTGTGGCTATAAAAAAAAGGTTAGTGTCCTTGAATCCTGAAGTGAGTAACTCCTTTCATGAATCCCCAAAGCGTATCCGTCATCCAAAAGGTGCAAATCAGGAGTGTAGTGGAATAACCCCCACTTGCCTGTTTGAGTGCAGTTCCAACAACACTTGAAATTTTACTGCATCCAAAACAAAATAGCCCACTTGATTGGCATTACATCCACAAACATTCATTTGAAGTACTGTGTACCATGTACAAGATGCACTGTAGAAATTTGCCAAGGCTCCTTAGACCAGCATCTTCCAAGCCCACGACCACTTCCATCTAGAAGGACTAGGGCAGCATATACATGGGAACACCAACACCTGTTTGTTCCCCTCCAAGCCTCTCACCATCCTGACTTTGAAATATACCTCTGTTCCTTCAGTCTCGCTGCGTCAAAGCTCCGGAACTACTTCCTTAACAACAGCGTGTGTCCTACAAAAATGGAGTGTAATGGTTCAAGAAGACAGCTCACCATCAACTTCTCATGAGCAATTAAGGATAACTAATAGATGCTGTCCAGTCTGTGATACCCACATTCCAAGATTTAATTTATTAATAAAAAGAGGAAGGGGATAGTGCGAAATAAATTCAAAATATAAATGGGTACCTTTATATCCACTTTGAATAATGAGAGAAGAGAGTAGAATGTTAGCAGTACAAGGAATTTAAGGATTAAGTTGCATATAATATAGATTTCTTAAAAATAGGAATGTACAAAATAATGAAACTTAAAATAGACACAACCTGGTTGCTTTGGGTAAAAATCTTAAAAGGGTCAGGTAAGGAAAATGCAGATGAGTTACCATAATTTTTCAAAGCTTTATTGTCAAGATTTATGCCTTTTGGATTCCAAACTTTCAAATGCCGTCCCATTACTTATGAAGGGAGACAGAAACCAGATAATGAGACCTATCAGTTTAACTTTTAATTTTGGTAATGCTTCAGGAATCTGTTGAATAGTGTCTTAGCCTCTTTCTTCTGTATGGACAAACGTAAAGTAGTTCATCTGCAGTAAACAAATTAGCACTGTGGTACAGTTGGGAATGAATTTTGACTTTCATGCAAACTAGTGGCAGTTTTGCTCTCTAATTTGTTACACAAACCAGGAGCAGGAGTAGTTTATTTAGCCCTATGAGTCTGCTCCACCACTCAATATGACCATGGTTGATCCTCTTTCTCAATGTCATATTCCCACTTTTTCCACATATCCTTTGCACTTTAAATATATTCATCAAACATGTATTTTATGACTTGGCCACCACAGCCTTCTGTGCTAATGAATCCCACAGGTTCTCTCTCCTTTTCAGTGAATAAATGTTCCCTCATCGCAGTCCTAATTGGTCTGTCCCATATCTTGACACTGTGGGGCATCTAGAACCAAGGAACAAACTAGGAAAACATCCTCCTTGTGTTTTTTTTTAACTCATTGACGGGATGAGGGCATCATTGGCTAGGCAGCATTTATTTCCCATTCCTAATTGCCCAGAGGGCAGTTTCTTTCCCTAAAGGACATTAGTGAACCAGATGGGTTTTTCCTGACAATCCACAATGGATTCATGGTCATCATTAGATTCTTAATTCCAGATATTTATTGAATTCAAATTTGACCATCTGCCATGGTGGGATTCGAACCTGGGTCTCCAGAATAACAGTCCAGTGATAATACCACTAGGCCATCGCCTCCCCTCAAGTGTGTATAGTTCGTTCAGCTCTGTTAGAATTTTGTACATTTCAATCTGATCCTTTCTCGTTTCTTCTAATAAATACTGACCCAACCAAACTAATCTCTCCTCGTTTTGAGTCCTGCCATCCCTGCTATCAGTCTAGTGAACCTCTGCTGCTCTCCCACTATGGCAAGCGTATCCATTCTTGGTTAGAAGGTCAAAATTGCCTGCAGTACTCCAGATGTGGCTCACCAAGGTCCTGTATAAGTGCAGTAATACATCCCTATTTCTGAATTCAAATCCTCTTGCAATGAAGGGCAAATCTACCATTTGACTCCCCAGTTGTATGTTGCACCTGCTTGCCTGCTTTCATTGACTGATGTACAAGGATACTCAGATCCTTTTGTGCATCCACACTTGCCAATATATCGCATTTAAATAGGACCCTGTCTTTCGGTGTTTCACAATAAAGTGTACAAGATCCCATTTAGCCACACTGCACTGCATCTGCCATGTGTTTGCTCACTCATTCAATTTGTCTAAATCACCTTCAAGCCTCTTTCCATCCTTCTCCGAACTCCCAAACCTGCTTAGTTTTATGTTATCAGCAAACCTAGAAATATTGCATTTGGTTCCCTTGTTAGGTCATTTATATATACTGGGAGTAGCTGGGACCAATACACACCTTTGCAGTACTTCTCTGGATATTACCCAATTTATTCCAATTACTTTTTTTTCCCCCCGTCTGTCAATCAGATCTTGATCCATGCCAATACATTACCCTAATGTTCCACATGCTTTAATTTAGCCCACTGACCTTAGCAAAAGCCTGCTGAAAATACACCACCTCCACTAGTGCTCCCCTATCTATTCTGCTAGTTACGTCCTCAAAAACCTCCAGTAGATATGTTAAACATAATTTGCTTTTCATTAGTCCAAACTGACATTGTCTTATACCATAAATGCTTTCCTCTGCTATGACGTCTTTTATAATACATTCTAGCTTTTTCCCCACAACTAAATGTTAGACTATCTGATCTGTAATTCTCTTCCCTCCCTTTTTTAAATAGTAGAATTACATTTGTCACCCTCCAATTTGTCAGAACTGCTGCAGAGTCTGACATTCTGGAAAATGAATACCAATGCATCCAATATTTCGAGGAACACTTCTTTTAGTGCTCTGGGACTTAGACTATCAGACCCTAGTGATTTGTCAGTCTTTAACTCCTTTAATTTCCCACTACCATTTTCATATGTCCTTAGATTCTGCCCTCTCACATTTCTGGCAGGTTGTTTGTGCTGTTTTATGAAGACATAGTGTGTATTTAATTCTTCTGCCATATCTTTGCTAACGATTACAGCTTCCCTGGATTCTAACTGAAAGATAGCTACGTTTGTCTTTAATCTTTTTCGCTCCATACATTTACAAAAGCTTTTTGCTCAGTTTCTACATTCCTTGCAATTTTACCCTCGTACTGTATTTTCCCCCTCCTGATCAAACTCTTTGTTTTTTTTTTGTTGAATCCTAAAAAGCTGCCAATCCTCAGGCTTGCTGTTTTCTCTGGAAATTTTAAATGCTTCCTCTTTAGATCTAATACTATCCCTAATTTCCTTTGTAAGCCATGAGTGAGCTACCTTTCTTCTTTTATTTTTATACCAGACAGGAATGAATAATTGTTATAATTAATTCACACGTTCTTTAAATATGAAACATTGCCTATCCATGTCAACACTTTTAGTAAGGTTTCCCAATCTATTCTTGACAATCCGCACATCTCACCATCATAGTTCCCTTTATTTAAATCCAGACCCTGGTTTCTCAGTTACTGTTGTTACTGAATTTAAGATATGATTGTAATATACCTATTTCGCTCTTGTTTGAACTTTTCTATTTTTGGGAAAATTTATTTTGTAATAATACTGTTTTAACTTTCTGGTTTCCAGGCAATCTGAGCTATTAGTTAAATTAAACCGATTGCTGGAGAGGTGTCTGAGGAATTCCAAGTGCATAGACACAGAATCCCTATGTGTTGTAGCAGGTGCAAAGGTGAGAAGATATTCTCTTGACAAGTATGGTCTGCATCTGAGAACCTGTCTCTCTACTGGTCACCATCTTGGGCAGACCAGGCTTTAGTTGCTGGGCATGAAGAATGGATTTGTGCATTCTACAAAAGTTCGGTCAACCACACTAATATTTAGATGCATTTTAATTATTTTTACTTATTTGCCAGCAGATTTCTGCACATGTAGCAATCTTTCCTCAAGTGGTATAGTCCAGCAAAATGAGAGCCATAGAATAGTTTACAACAGTAGTATAGCCTAATAATAGATGTGCTCACCCGCAATCAATCTATTGACTGCCCAATTGTGGATTGTCAACTTCTAATGGTTCAACTCTTGCAAATCATTTCATTTACTTTTTAAGAGGTTTATCTTCCTTGAGGTTTAGTTTGGATTCTCTTCTAAATTTGCTGCTTAAATCCTCTCATTGAGCAATAACGTTTTTATTTTTGCACTAAAAGAAATCTTTGGATCCCGACAACTTTGGAAACCGTCATCTATCTCCAATCTACCTTTCCTCTTGAGTCGTTGAATGTTTCATTGCCTCCCAAATCCACTTTTATCTCTCTCAGTATTCTAAACTTGAATCCCTTCAATCAGATTTCTGCTCTTACCAGAGGAAATAAGTACAGTCTTCCATTTTCATATAGCACTTTTAACAACCACTGGAGCTCCCAAAGTCCTTCTGTAGCGATTATGTAGTTTTGAATTGTTGTCATTGTTGTAATTTAGTAGCAGCTAATTTGCACTCTGCAAACTTACGCAAACGGCAATGTTATAATGACCAGCTAATTTGTTTTTATGTTGACCAGTTAAATATTTAATATGTTGAGGGATAAATATTGGTTAGGACAGCAGTGATAGCTCTTCTACGGAATGTTGCCTTGGGATCTTTTACATCATGTATGAAGAAATGTGGGACCTTCGTTTAGTATCTCATCTTGACAGCACATGTCCAGCACTTGCTCAGTACTTCATTGTAGTGTCAAACTTGAATTTTCATGCTCAAGACCAGGATAAGGACTTGATTCCAGAGCTTCATCACTCTCCCTCACAACAATGAGGGGATGAATTATTCTATAGTAGTGTGTGTTTTCGGGGGAGGGGGGTAACTTCAAGTACTCTCAAAAATGTGCAAACTTGTATTATGATCCTGAATGACATGTTTAATATATCCCTAGCAAAAGCAGCCGAACTCTATAACCAACTGATCAGATGGACTGTTAACACAAACATTTGGCAAGTTCAGATTTGCAGTGTATTCATCTGCCAAAATATTGACTTTGTTTGTATCGGAATTCTTTAAGATGGGATTCAATGCGTTGAGTCTGTATACCTGTGTTATCCAAATATGAGTGATCGCCTGCTTAGAAAATAAAGAACACTAAAATTGGTGCCAAGGCAAGGAAACGTCTTATGGAGATAATTCAGACATGGTTTTGTTTAAAATTTTGTGTTGTCTGGTAATTTGAATGAAGAAAAGTAGAAATTTAGCACTGAAAGTTGAATTATTAGATCATTTGACTATTGAGCTCTTCTGTTTTTCCAAATGACAAGATGCAACATTCTGTTAAGCCTTATAGCTACTGTCAGACGTTTGCAGCTGCTATGCGTTGTACAAGGCATTTAATATCAAGGCAAATGATAGAATATTTATTAACATGAAGCTATATTTCAAAATAGATCATTTATTGATTGAGAAAACCATGATTGCTTTGAGCAGTTGATATTTGCATGTTTTGGCTACATAGTGTAATCCAAAATTGAAGTGAACATCAATTAAATATATAAAAATAATTTTATAAATTCTTTACATCGAAATCATCATGACTTTGCTTTAAACTTTGGGCCCAGTTTTTAAATTCAGTCAAAATCCATTCACCTGCACAAAATTTAAAATCTTGCTGAAATTTGTGTTAGCTCAGTTGATTGGCAATTCTACTTCTGAATCAAACATTGTGCATTGTGTAGGGAAGGCGATGGCCTAGTGGTATTATCGCTGGACTGTTAATCCAGAGACCCACATAATGTTCTGGGGACCCAGGTTCAAATCCCGCAATGGCAGATGGTGGAATTTGAATTCAATAAATATCTGGAATTAATAATCTAATGACGACCATGAACCCATTGTTGATTGTCAGGAAAAACCCATCTGGTTCACTAATGTCCTTTAGGGAAGGAAACTGCCATCCTTACCTGGTCTGGCCTACATGTGACTCCAGACCCACCGCAATGTGGTTGACTCTGAACTGCCTGTTGGGCAATTAGGGATAGGCAATAAATGCTACCTGGTTGGCAACGTCCTCGTCCTGTGAATGAATAAAGAAAAAAAATTCAGTGCTCTAGTCGATGATTTGAGCCACCGCTTTAGAGCAATACTATTGAAGTGAGCATTTTTCCCTGCTCAATTCAATGCCTCAAGATCTTTTGAAGAACAAAGTTACTTCAATATCTTGGCCAATATTCCTCCCTAAACTAGCATGACTTAGAAACAGATTATTTAATCATTTATTTGTTAACTGTTTGTAGGACCTAGCTGTGCTCAAATTTGCTGCAATATTTGCCTAGTTAACAGTAAATTAACTCTTTGGGTTAAAACATTTTGGAACACGACAAGCTTATCAAATGACGCAGTTTAAAGTTGATGGAGACTCTTTCTTCCTTGGACCATGACTAAGAAAATGGGCAGAAAATGAGGCTTAACTGTAACTGCACTCTGTGTGCTAGGCCATTTGTGAATACTGCCCAAGATGACTTTCCACCTGATTGACTCCAACTTCGAACATTTTTAAAAAAAACAGTTGGTTTGCAATGAGCATTTCTCAATGCTCAAAGAATTGGAATCAACAACATGATGATCTTATGTACCCCCTTGTTGGAAAAATGTGTTTCATAGAAGCCTGTTGCGTGTTCTTGACATCACTGCTGAACTGTCAATGGCATTCCATAATTCTTGCTACTGCAGTAGCAATGTCAATTCAACTTTGACAGACCCTCTCCACTATAACTGCATTTAGCTCAAACAGTAGCCACACCAGAAAAACCAAATAAGATGATTTGAAGAGATAGTAGGAACTGCAGATGCTGGAGAATCTGAGATAACAAGGTGTAGAGCTGTATGAACACAGCAGGCCAAGCAGCATCAGAGGAGCAGAAAGGCTGACGTTTCGGGCCTAGACCCTTCTTCAGAAATGGGGGAGGGGGGAAGGGGGTTCTGAAATAAATAGGGAGAGAGGGGGAGGCAGATAGAAGACGGATAGAGGAGAAGATAGGTGGAGAGGAAACAGACAGGTCAAAGAGGCGGGGATGGAGCCAGTAAAAGTGAGTGTAGGTGGGGAGGTAGGGAGGATGGACAGGTCAAGGGGGCGGGATGAGATTAGTAGGTAGGAGATGGGGGTGGGGCTTGAGGTGGGAGAAGGGGATAGGTGGGAAGAAGGACAGGTTAGGGATGCAGGGACGAGCTGGGCTGGTTTTGGGATGCAGTAGCGGGAGGGGAGATTTTCAAGCTTGTGAAGTCCACATTGATACCATTGGGCTGCAAGGTTCCCAAGTGGCACATGAGTTGCTGATCCTGCAACCTTCGGTTGGCATCGTTGTGGCACTGCAGGAGGCCCAGGATGGACATGTCGTCTGAGGAATGGGAGGGGGCGTTGAAATGGTTCGCGACTGGGAGGTGCAGTTGTTTAGTGTGAACCGAGTGTAGGTGTTCTGCAACCTGGTCCCCAAGCCTTCACAAGGACTTCACAAGCTTCAAAATCTCCCCTCCCCCTACTGCATCCCAAAACCAGCCCAGCTCGTCCCCGCCTGCCTAACCTGTCCTTCCTCCCACCTATCCCCTCCTCCCACCTCCAGCCCCACCCCCATCTCCTGCCTACTGACCTCATCCCGCCCCCTTGACCTGTCCGTCCTCCCTGGACTTACCTATCTCCTCCCTACCTCCCCACCTACACTCACCTTTACTGGCTCCATCCCCGCCTCTTTGACCTGTCTGTCTCCTCTCCACCTGTCTTCTCCTCTATCCATCTTTTATCCGCCTCCCCCTCGCTCCCTATTTATTTCAGAACCCCCTTTCCCCCTTCCCCATTTCTGAAGAAGGGTCTAGGCCCGAAACGTCAGCCTTCCTGCTCCTCTGATGCTGCTTGGCCTGCTGTGTTCATCCAGCCCTGCACCTTGTTATCTCAGATGATTTGAAGTTTTGTGTAGATATAATCCTTCTAGCATGTTTAATGTCTGCTGTAAAACAATCACATTTTATGCATGTGTAAGTCATCGACAAAAGTTATAGATGTTTATTAAGTGTGAAAGTTAAATGTAGGCTAAATGTTTTTGAGTATTTTGAGACTGTGTTGCTGATTAGTAGAGGAGGAACAGTCATGTATGAGAGATTTTGACAGGGAAAGGAATTAAACCTCTTGGGGGAGAAAATCCTTACCTTTCAAGGCTTTCCTAGAGTATCTGTCGATTTTTGATGGCAAGGGCGCCAGGACAAGCCATGTACCATGCTTTTCTGCCTGTCGTAATGTTGTGCAGCCAGCGATCTTGCAGAAAAATATACCTTTTGGAAACTGCATTTTCACATTATTTGTGGAATGGCTAAAGAAAATCCAGAAATCCTGCAAGATGTTAAAAAACATACCAAAGTGAGTCACAAACAAAAACAGAAGTTGCTGGAAAAGCTCAGCAGGTCTGGCAGCATCTGTGAAGAGAAATCAGAGTTAACATTTCAGGTCCAGTGATCTTCCTCAGAACCAAGTAGGTCTTTGCCCCTAACATACAAAAAATGCCCTAAAGTGTTATCAAAAATTATCATGAGACGTTCATAATGTGAAGTTACCCAAGATTGCATTTGATTAGCTTATTTCTTCAGATTTCTAAACACTCTTCTCCTTTTGAATCTAATATACTTTATATAAAAATAAATAGATAAATTTCCATATTTCTTTTATCAAGGTGTGGCAAATACGTGTAGACTTACATTTGTTAAACCACGATGGGAACATTATTGATGTTGCAAGCATAGCAGCTATTGTGGCATTGTCTCACTTCAAAAGACCTGATGTCTCTATTCAAGGAGAAGAAGTCACAGTGGTAAGTATTAAGAAAAGTCTTTATCCTATAAAGTTGGAGCATGTGGTTGGGTACAATATAGGCAGAGCTGTGTCTGCAAATAATTTGATAATCAAACAGTTAAATGTAATTAACACTATTCTTTAAGTATTATTATAATAGGCCATTTGGCTTCACATTATCTGTGCAATTGTGATTGTATTCCAAATGAGTCTCCTCCCATTCCATTTGCCTCATTTTTGCCTTTTAGCCAATCATTTTTGTACCTTTCTCTTACATGCACTCTGTCACCTAGCTATTGAAGAAAATTGAGAGGGAAACCAGGGATTTACAGATCTACTAATCTAACAGATGTTTTCAGAAAATTACTAGATTGTTTAGTTATGGATAGAGTACAAAACATCTTGAAAATTTTCGGTTAATGAGAGCCAGCATTGCATTTTAGAGGTAGGTCTTACCTCATGTACCAGGTTAATTTTTTAAGAGGTTACTGGAATAGGGGAATGTCTATGGATATATTTGGTTAATTTGGACTCTGAGAATGCATTTGATAAAGTTTTCCATCAGAAGTTAGCTAAATTTGACACCCATGGAATTAAAGATGAATTATTGACCTGTTTACAAGATTGGCGAGCATTTGGAGAAAGAAATGAAGAATAATGAGCAGGTATTTTAACTTGAAGAATGTGATTAGTGGCACTGAATTTTCATTGGATATGTAGGCTAGGATGGAAGTGAGAGGGCAGGCCTGGAGGATGGTGCTACTGAGTGGTGTGACTGTTTGCTGACATATTGCAACTTTGAAAAGGAACCTGGAAGCAAACTCGACTGAAAATGTGATGAATAAATTGTCAGCTTGTTGAGTAGCAGTTTGCAATTTTTGAGTGGAAGTACAGGAAACATGAAGGATCAACAAGCCTACTTATGAGGAAGAAATTGCTTCACAATGAGCAGCAAATTGGTTTTGGTGTTAGTCAGAACAGCACATAGAGTAAGAAGGCTTGGAGAGTCATACCAGACTGAAAACATTAACTCTTTTTCTGCCTTAACAGATGCTGCCAAACCTGAGTTTCTCTAGCATTTTGTATTTGAATCATCATATTGCATTCCTGCATTGCTGCTATTTAAATGATGAGCGCGAGCAGCTCATCAAAAATTGTCGCTGAGCCAATGTGCCTACATCCTGTGAATACATTTTAAACTAAAAGTCATCACCTAATATTTAACAGAAAATATTCCAGTTAGACAAGCAGCACGTGTGAAGACAGACACCAACACGTTTTAACATGGATTTTACAGCCCACCCACAGGCAAGTAGATTGGCAGGCGAATGTGTAAAATAGGCTGCTGCGCCATCAATGTGTGTCTGCTACTGGCCTGCTAGCCCGCTAGCCCTTCTCCACTGCAACTTCGTGCAGCCGGGAAAGTGTTGGATGGGACACTTGCTTGTTGCCATCTTAAAATGGTCACCCAAAGGTAGATTTGCCTCCAGTGTTTACAACAGAATTTGGAGAGCCTGCCCATCCACCATTAGCATATAATCTAGATTATTAACTCTGTTTCTCCCTCCACTGTCCTGAATATTTCCAGCATTTTCTGCTTCTATTTTGCATTTCCAGTATCAGAAGTCTTTTTTTTGGCTTTCTCGTTATCTCCTTTTTGAAGCAGCTTATGCTAGTTTTCAACATTAGAATTGCTACATAAATGCAACTCTGTTTGTCCTTTCTAAATGTGCCAACTTTACACAGTGTCTTTCTTGTCACAATGAAACTAGAATTTTCTATTCTAACATGCAGCAATGTATAGGACTGAAAAAATATCATTTTATTCTAACTTGCTGTTTCCTTATGATTGCTAGAAATGCTTCTCATAGGATTGAGAATGTGATGATTCTCTGGCCCTGGAGGGCTTGCCTATTAGAGTCAGTGTCGTACAGCATAGAAGCAGGCCCTTTGCCCCACTCTCTCTCTGTCAACCAACACACACCAAACTACACTCATCCTATTTACCAGCACTTGGTCCATAGCCTATTATGCACTGGCATTTTAAGTGCTTGGCCAGATGCTTTATAAATATTGTGACAGTGCATGCCTTCACCACTCCCTAAGGCATAATGTTCCATATTTCTACCTCCCCATCGGTGGGAAGCAAATTCTCAGATCTCCTCTAAACCACTTACTCCTCACTTTAAACTTGGTACCTTCTGGTCTTAGACACATCTGCCATGGGAAAACTATTTGCACGATCACCCTATCTATCCTCTCATAACATTGTATACCTCAATCAGATCAACCTCCACCCCACCTGAGCCTCCTGTGTACCAACAAAAACAAACCCAGCCCATCCAGTCTGTCCTCATATCTGAGACTTTCCATCCCAGGCAGTATCCTGGTGAATTTCCTCTCGGGCCTAACCAATATTTCATACGGTTGTAACAAGACTTCCTTGCTCCTATATTCTACACCCTGACTAATGAAAGCGAGCATCCCACGTGCCGCCTTCATCACCCTGTGTACCTGTGCCGACACCTTCAGGGCTTGTATACTAGCTCCCTTTGTTCATCGGTACTTCCTAGGAACCTACCTTTTCATTTTGCATGTCCTTCCTTTATTAGACCTCCCAAAATGCATCACCCTACACTGATCAGAATTCCATCTGCCATTGCTCTGCCCAATTAGTTCCACTTGTTCTGCCCATCTAAAATGTACTACATGCTGGTAGGAATGGTTTATGAAGGCAGAAGCATCAAAAGATTTAGAATGTTAAGATATTTTTTATGACTGTGCCTGAGAAAGACTTCAGTTCACGACTCTTGGCTTGTTGGGAGGCACTGGGGTATAGTGAATGGAGAGGTCTGGGGAAAATCATGGGATGTGATGGGAAGACTAATGCAATATGGTATCGGAGCATAAAAAGCACATTATTCTTAAGTTATGGGGGTGAATTATGAATTTTCAAATACTGAGAACATGTGAGAAGGTAATAATGATGAGGTACATTGTACATGGCATGCATAGGAATGCGGACGGATAGTTCAAGAGGTAGATGCCAATGTATGTACTATTCACGATTGTCAGCCGAAAGTAGGTTCCCGTGTGGTGTACTGGCCAGAAGGCTCAGATAATGGGAGAAGGCCATGATAGTAAGACAAGCAGGTAAGTCTACAAGCAGGTACAATACAAAAATTGGTTACATTTCCAAGAGAAAGGACGAGGTGAGGTCTATGGATTTGCAAAAGGAGTGCAAGGATTCAGAACAAAAAACATAGGTTAGGTTCAAGTAATGATTTGGGGGATATATTTAGGAGGAGGAAAAGATCAAAGACAGTGGTATGGAAATTTAGTAGGCAGTCTGATTGGAGTAATCCAGAGAGACCACAGCAAGTGAGGTCACAGCCCGATGACTGCACTTCTCTTGCTTTTCTGCTTATGCCCATTGCCAGGAGGACTGTGACAAAGGTCACTGTAGTCAAGAGGTGTTTGTAACTGCCAATAGATTAGAAGACAAAGCCAGAAGAGAAGCTAAAGAGCAAGAGTTATACAAATTCTTTCCAGTTGTATGTTTGGAAGTTGCTGGTTAAAGGTGTTGGTAACTTCTCAGTCACACACATGTATCTGTTTAGAATCAGTTTTACCGATTAGGACCTGTAACCTAAATACTTCATAACCAGAAGTTTGAGGAATGCTTGGGCAATAAGGAGATGATAGAACCATGTACACTAGAAAAGGTGATTTTTACTTTAAACATTTTGGCTATTTTTGCTACCCATTAATGGAGGTACCAGTCCATAGTTATAAAAGCAGCTTTCCCACAGAGAGATTTTTCAGAGACATTTAATCCAGCCTCTGAAGGAAGCATACATCATAGAAGGTAAACTCTCAAAGTTGAATAATTTGTGGATTGAATAGCAGTTCCTGTGTATGATACTTTTGAGTGAGGGCAGTTCTATTTAAAATTGGGCTTTGCAAAAGGGGAGGATGCTACAATGTTTTATTGGTGTTATGGTGGAAAACATTTAGGCATCTTTATGATGTGGGTGGAGAATATTTTTATGGCTTGGGATTAATATATTTGAAAGAATGTTATTGATCAAATAGGGTAGGAATTTAAGTTGGGCTCCTAATGCTTTTAAATATGTAGATTTGGAGATAAAGCAAATGTGCCAGATGTAATTTTACATCAACATCATTACTTGGAAAGCGTCACTTGCATTGCCATAGTTTGTGCTAAGTCCATGCAAAGAAACATGGATGCCTCCAAAAATGAAATGGAGCAGCTGCAGAGTCTTGTTGAATACCTTAATTGGTCAGGCTTGTAGACAAGACCAGATCTCAGGCTTCAATATGTTGGAACATAATCTTGTGATAAGAAATCTGAAGATTGAGGAGATCTTGAGGGTGGACAATTTTTTTTAAAATTAAAAGTAGAGAAATGTATAGTGAAATTCTCAGGTTTAAGAGATACCAGAACTATAAAATTGATTCCTTTTTTAGCAATTCCTCACAAGCCAATCTCGGTGATTGGATTTTCCAGTGGAGGTAGGTTCATAGTGTTCCACCTGGGAGAGAATGGATAAAGTTGTCCTTTGTCTCTGAAATCCAAAACTACTAGAAGAGTAATGAAGAATACAGGTTGCTGAAACTCTTGCACTCATTCATGCCGTGAATATAATGTTATATTTATCTAAGTTCTTGGAAGAAGTATTATATGAAAGGGATCCAAAGGGATCATATGTATGAAATGTTACGTAGATCGTTGATCCCTTTCCAATAATGTATATTCCATGAATTGTGTAGTTGTGTAAAGTTCAAGAATAATACGGCAAATCTGGAGCAAATGTTGGAGGGGAAAAAAGTATCCAAACTGAGATTGGTAAATATAATTAATCAATTATTCGACTTTTACCAAAATTAAAGCCTCGAGTGAAGGTTCTGAAAGAAGGATGCCTCCTAACGTAAACCTTGGGATATAAAATTTAGTTTGTGTACATCTATGTTTTCATTTATGCTTTGTTTTTAGAA